GAGGAGGAAAGGAGCTTGGGGGTGAGATCCTGGTCTGGGGAAACACTAGGAAGAAGTTCTCATCTAAATAGTAGCAAAGGCATTTTTTTTTTTTTTTTTTTTTTTTTTGAGAAACAGAGAGAGAGAGGAGATACACAAAACACATTCACACATATATTTATACATACTACCCAAATGCATGGAGGCCTTATTAGATCAGAAGTGAAGAATTACCTTTCAAAAAATACAATAAAACAAATCAAATTGCCCAAAGTGCGAGATTTTCTAAGCAGGAGTAGGCCAGGAAGAGCTTTCACTGGCATCTAGTGGTACGTTGCAGAGGCAGAGTCACTGCAGCTGATGGTACAGCTTCACTTCCAAAGTGGGTCTCCCCAGGATAGTGGAGACTGTTCAGACTGGGAGGTCACCACTTCCAAACTGGGCTTAGGAAGAGTCATTTTTGACATAGCCTAACCCTGCCCTGACAACTTTGTCTATGAAGCCCTTTTGGGGATGAGCATGAGGCACTCTGGGTCTATTTCTGACTGCATGAGCAAAACCTTGGGGTCATACCAAGGCATATTTGATCTCTTCTTTTCTTGGGCTTTGGGGCTTTGTATGAGCCTGAGGGGACAGCAGGCAGATCTGGTCTGTTTGAAGGAAAAGGTGAGCTGTGGGGGGACTTACCTGGGAAAATGCAGATGTCAATGGAGAGAAACAGGAGCTCTGAGGGCACAAGTCATCTGCCCTACTAGAAGTGTGCAGTTTAGAATAAGGTAAATTGTGCCCCGGTGGATGAGTGGACACTGACACAGCTGAAACGGCACGATCCTGGCCCCTTCCTCCAGACCTGTCTGGCAGCAAAGGAGTCACCCAAATGGTGCCCCCAGCTGCTCCAGTTGAGCCCCACATCCATGTCCTGTCTCAACCTCTCTCCCTCCATGGTGCCACACACCAAGACGGGACTGGTTGATGGAGCTGCTGACTGGCACCACCCAAAGTGTTGGTAGGCAGGACTTGTGGGAAGGTATTATGGAAATAGGAAGAATGGAAAAGGTGTGGGGGGGCTCATGTTGCCAAAGGAGTCCTGCACATGAGGAATCTTGCCTCAGCACACCTGGGGTCTCCTGTGTCCTAACACCGTGGTCTCTCCTGTCTGACCAGGACCTGCTATGGCACTTTCATGCATCAAAGTAAGAAGACCTTCAGTAAGGCAAACTGAATGAGGCTTGTGTATCTTCTGCTGTGCATGTACTAGTATAAAGATGATTAGATTTGTATGACTTCTTCCTTCATTGGGGTGGGATACAAGCTGGAATGTAGGCACACCTTCATACCGGCGCTGCTGCCTCATACTGCTGGTTTGTACTGGGGTAGAAAATACATCAGCAGGCTTTATCCAAGGCATATACGGTGTGTAGGCTAGATCTGAACTCCAGGGACCCTGTAACCTTGAACTTCCTTGTGTGAGTTGAGCCAGGCACTTCACCACCTCCTGCCTCAGTTTCCCTGAATCAAAGAGGAGAATAGCATATTTGCAACCTTGTGTCATATTTAGGACAGGATTGAAGGCACTGGCTTGTGCAGGCATGAGTGTTATTGTCCAACCTCAGAGACATGGGACAGCCCCTAATCACTGCCCCAGGGAAGAGTCATGCTGAAGCAGCTTTTCATCGTGCACATGCTCCTAAAAACCTCCTAGAGAAGCATCCTGGGCTAGAGCTTCCTGCGGAGTCTCTAAGCCTCGTTGTACAGGGCAGAGACAGGAAGGTCTGGGTGCTTTCTGTGAGGTCCTGCTGACGCTCAGCCTCTCCCAGGTGGTGCTCATCACTCTGCTAAATCAAGCCCATATGCCTCAGTGGCCACCCTTGTCAAATCTGCACACTCCTTTTGTGCTTCCACTGAGCTTTAAAAGTGGTCCCATGCCCGTAACTGGGCACCAGGCTCAGTTGCCACCTCCCCCCAGGGGGACTGCAAGCTGCTAGGGACACAGAAATACTTCCTGAAATGCATCTTTCCTCTCCTGACGCTTCCTGGAGCAAGTGCCAGACAATCAGCCTGGGAGGGAAGAAGGATGCTTGCAGCACTGTGGGATGTTTTCCTTCCCCCAACAAAAAAAAAAAAAAAAAAAAAAAAAAAAAAAAAGCAAACACTCTCAGCTGGGGCAAGAGAGAAATAGCCTGTTCCTGACCCACTGGCTGCCAGGGCAGAGAGGGAAGGATGGGGAACCAGAGCTGCTGGGAAGAACTACCATTCCCAGAAGGCAGTGCGAGCCGGGGACCCTTCTAGCTTCCCACCAATATAGCAGTGCAGAAGAAAGGCACATCAGGGAGAAATTCCCTTCCTTTCCCTCCCTGCGCTCCAGCTAACACCTTGACGGTGGCCTGAAAATCCCTCCCGGCGGCGTGATCCGAGAGCATCTCCCCTGTCCTCCCCTCGCTCCTTCAACCTTTGCTCTTTGTCTTTGTTCCACTTCACCCTTCCTCCGGTAGCTCTCACTGCACTGGCCACAGACTTCCTTTAGGTCAGCCCAGCTGCGGCTGCAACACAACTTGCAGCCAAGTCGCAAGCACTGTTGTGCCACTGAGACTGCCCCGGAGGAGAGAAATGCCAGCCAGAGATTGATGGCCCACGCAGGTAAGATGCTTTTGGCCAGCTGACCTTCATTTGTCCGGGTAGCCCAAATAAAAGATGAAGCAACTCCCTAGGATCTGGTTTTGCCCTTCATTCAAACCCTGAGCCCGGGGGATTGCGGAGCTGGAAGCAAAGGCAGGATTTGGATCCGTAGGATCTGGATACTTGGGGGGGTGGGGGTGGGGAGGAAAAGGAATAAAGTAGGCAGGAATTTCTTCTTTTACCCTGATCTGAATTCAAGGATTTGTTGCTTTTTGTCAAAACCCAGAGACAATTGAAACACTGCTGCTGGTGACTTGTTTCCTCTAAGGCACCGGCACAAGCATCCATGGCAAGGAGAGGAGGCCACGGACACGGCAGCGAGCCCAGCGCCCGCTCCACCTGTGCCTGCGGCTGAGCGCGTCCCCTCAGCACCAGCCAGACCTGACAGGAGGGTCCTTGGTGGTGGGAGGCTAAATCCACTACCGCTTGGGGGGTTGATGACCTTCCTCAGTAAAAACACACTTTTCTGAGTCCTCTTTCCAGCCTGGCTGCTGCTGAAGCTTTGCCTGCTGAATTAAAACCTGTTGTAGGTGTCACATAGCTGCTCCCACAACTAGGGAGGGGGCCTGCCGCTCCTCAGCATCTCCCCTCCACTAGCAAAAACACCAGACCCACGTCTTGCTCCAAGTGGGTGTGTTTTGTCTCTCCTGGCTCAGTATAATTTTGCAGGTGGTTGGTTTTCGGTTTTCATTTTTGCTTTCATTTTCCTGTGGTTCCTCTGTACCAGCATGCAGAACTCAGCTTGGACAGGAGCACCGTTGTGCTTCAGTGGTGGCTTTTACCAGCATCAGTGGGGATCCAGATGGGTTAGCTGAAGGGGAAACACAAGCGGTGTGACTAAATCTGAAGCAACTTTCCCTGTTATAACCATCATCGGAAATCTGTCGTATCTGCCCACTTCATTTACCACTCTGACCTCTCTCCTCTGAGGAGCGTGTAGCTGCAAACTCTGCATCGCAGTTGCGCCTGGAGATTTATACTCCACATGTCCCATCGCTTGTCCCCTGATCCATGGCATCCCCCCTCCCCAGCCCCCTACACCTTGGTGACAGGCTCCCCAGGGACTCATCTTCTCAGCCACAGCCTTCCCAGTGACCCAGACCTCCAGGGACAGATTTCACTGACAACCCATGTCCTTGCTGGCAGCCTGCCCCATAACTGGTGATTTTGGCAGCAGCACCTTCAGCCATCGGAGTCATCAGTAAAAGCCTGCCCAGCCGCGTATACTCTTGTTGACAGTCATCTCCAGCACCACCGTCTTCCTCCCCTCAGTCTTTCTGGCTCTTTTCCCTGCTGCTATTCGGACTCTTGACAGGAGATGTTGCTCACATCTTTGTTGACCCTGATTTTTTTTTTTTCCTAATGGAAATACATAGGACCCAGACCCTGCTGTCAGTCGAACCCTCTTGAAAAGGAGAAAGTTACTTAAGGTTTCCATGTCTCACTTCTCCAGCTGCCCGCAGAGGACACCACTGACCTGTCTTCTCCTGTGCATGGAGGTCTTCCAGTACAAAGCAGCACATCCCAGTTTGAAAATAGTGCCCAGTTTGGTTTTTTTCTGTGTTTTGGGGATTTTGGTTGCTACACAGTCACTCCTCAAAAATGAGACCAATTACAACAGTTACATCAAAGTGCATTAATTAATTAACTTATTTACTTATAAATCTTCTTGGTCAAAGGACAGGAGACTATTCTGAGAGTAAATCACTAACGCAGCAATAGTAGAGCTGAAACCTCAGGGTCACTGCAGCAGCGAGTGCCTCACAGATCCCCCATGGCCAGGGGACATTAGCCTGTTCCTGCTCTCTCTGCTGGAGTCCAGCTGAGCCTGTGGCTTCAAAGGTCTCAGGCTCAGTCCCCATGGAGCAGCCAAGGTGCCACCCATTGTGTTTACATAGCGAACACAGGAGGTGGAGAAGTAAGAATGCCTTAATAATTTTCCCTTTATTTTTTCAGTCCGGCAGTCC